AGTGCATGCATGCACATGTGGTTGTGTGTGTGTGTGTGTGTGTGTGTGTGTGTGTGTGTGTGTGTGCACGCGCGTGCATATTTCTGGAACTTTGCAAATTCTGGGCAAGTGAGTATCTACCACTGAGCTAAATTCTTAGCTCTCGTTTTTTTGAGACAAGGCCTGTGCATGAATTATTCTTCTTACTGCAGTAATAGGGACTGAATCAGGTCCTTCATGCACTAAAGGGGAACACTTTAACACTCAACTATATCCCAGACTTTGGCCTTGAACTTTTAATTCTCTTGTCTCTTTCTCCCAGGTGCTAGCTAAAATGATTCTTGGGGTGGGGGAGTCATTTTTCTTCAGTGGTGTAGCCATTAATACATTGCTCCTGCCCCCAAAAGTAGCCCCTTCCCTCATGCTCATGGAAGCATCATGGATTAAACTCAGTAGAGCTCTCTGTATCTCTCTGTCTCTGTCTCTGTCTCTGTCTCTCTCTCTCTCTCTCTCTCCCACACACACACATACACACACACACACACACACACACGTTCACTCACTCACTCACCCGTGACATGAACATAGGAGGGAGACTTGTTAGGGAGAGGAGGGTTGCATCAGGAGAGGGGGGGTGGATAAGAGAGCGAAGTTGGAAATGACCAAAATTCACTATATAGAGGTATGACATTCTTAAAGAATCAAAAAATATATTCTTAACCAGACAATGGAATATTTTAGGATTAAAAAGAAAAGAAATGACCCTGACTGTGTGTTAATTAACGAAAGAAGCCAGATGAATGAGAAGGCTGCATGTTATTTCATTCCAACCGGAGGACATTCTGGACAAGTAATGGAGACATCAGAAAGATCAGTGGTGTCCAGGAGTTGAGGGATGAGAAGGTGGAACACTCAGGATTGTCAGGACAGGGAGATGAAGCTGTCTGTTTGTGGAACCCCCACACTGTGTTTGATGCTTACAGCAAGCCCTAATGTAAACTATGGGCTGTGGGTGAAAATATTGTCTCAATGGAAGATCACCAGGTGCAAGAAAGGGGTGTCTTTTAAAATTGAAATCGTTTATATTAATTTTTTTCTGTCTTTGTGTATAGATGGGGGCTTGGGGGCCAGTGGGCAGCTTGTGAGCGTTGGGTCTTTCTACTGTGTGGGTTCTGGGGTCCTCAGCCTTGGTGACAAGCACCTTTATCCAGTAAGCCATCTTCTGGCCTCAAAATGTGGGTCTTGATTGGGGAATGCTAGTGGTGGGGGGCTCTGGGGGGGGGCAGGAGTCTTAAGGGAGCTGCTTTCTGTTCAGCTTTGCTACGAACCTAAAACCATTCTACAAAATGAAGTTTATCTTTTATTATTTTATTATATTATTTTATAATGTTATTAAAGTTGGAGTGAAGAGCAATAAGACCGTCGAGCTGCAGATCTGGCAGTTGCTGGGAGGGGAGGAGATGGGGGAAGACATGTCTCTTAAGTTGGACTTGGCGGCCAGAGAAACGGTGAGAAATCCCAGCGTGTTTGAGAAAGCATGTTTAGGAGTCCCACGCCAAGGATCTGCGTGAAAGGACACCCAGTTCTAGACTCCTGTATCCCAGGACAAAGGATTGCATCATCGATTAGAAATAGAAACACAGGCAGCTCGTTTAAGAAAGGGAAAGGCAGCAGAGCCAGGCGGATCTCTGTGAGTTCGAGGCCAGCCTGGTCTACAGAGTGAGATCCAGGAAAGGCGCAAAGCTACACAGAGAAACCCTGTCTCGAAAAACCAAAAAAAAAAAAAAAAAAAAAAAGAAAGGGAAAGGCAAGAATGTGAGAGGGCAGTGAGCTGAGGATAAAGAGCCCCCCAAGCACTTGAGCCATGGAGCCCATGACCCTTCACAAGACATGTACCTAACACCTGTCTCACCCATTTGTGTGAATTGAGCCTATTTTTCAGTATGGGCTTTTACTTTCAAGTAACCTTGGGGAGTCTGTAGGTGGGACTGCGGTCCACACTGGCCATGTTGCTATTTTCCTCCTTGCATCGCGGCTCTGCTTTTCCTGTCCGCCTCTTCCTGGTGAGGACGCCGGTAGGCTCAGCGCAGATGTCAGTCCACGGTGAGAGCTTCCTTGGAGCTGTCTTGTTATCTGGGAAGCTCTTATCTCCAAAGCTTTTTCATGCGCGCTCTTTAAGGCAGCGGCGGCCTCTTGGGTAGAAACAATTATGGTAAGGAGCCACCGATGATTTATGGCTTTCTCACCAGCACGTGGTTCTTTCATTTCAAAGGGGATGGCCTGGAAAGCAGGGGGTGCGGGGATGGAGAAGAAGGTCTGTGGGCGCAGGATAAGAGTGAAGCTCCTCAAATTCCAAAGCCCCCCCCCCCCCGCCCGCCCCCCCAGCATCTCACCGATCCTTTCAGCAGCCCTTTCTCTAGTCATGGCATCTGTGGGAGCCCAGCTGGGAGACCCACATTTTACCCCAGGGTGCTCTGGAGGAGGGAGGGAGAAGAGATTTAGATAGAAGGATGGAGGGGAGAGAAACAGAAACACAGGATAACCTCGAGAGGGCCTAGATCCTTATCCATCAGCCACTTCTGGCTCTTCTAAAGGGCTCTTTACAGGAATGCCAAAGGGGTGGAGAAAAGACCTCCCCCTAGCTCAGCCAAGTGTAGACCTTTCCAATCACCTGGAGACCACTACCTGGTCAAGTCATCCTCTAATGCAGCTCTGCTGGGTAAAGCAAGCTCCGATCTCACTAGGAAACCTCTGTGGGCCTCCACCACACGCATCCCCATTTCACAGTGAGGAAATACAGCCTCCTAAAAGGCTCACCCAAGTCACTGCTCCTGACACCACCGTGGAGCATCAGATTGAGTGTAGCAGAGACAGAGCTGAGGTACTGGTCTATGTTGAGTCGGGGACATGGTAGCTTAGAGGGTTAGCTTTGCTTCTTGGCTTTGAGCATGCAGGGGTGGGGGTGGGGATGTGAAGTCAGTGAGGACTCCAGAGCCCTGACTTCTGCAGGACTACTTCTTCAGCATGGGCCTGGATCTCCTCACTCAGTCGCTGCCCCTCTCTCAGAGAGCTGGGCTAGCAGGTGTAGGTGCGAGTTCTTGAGGCTTAGGCCACGGCCGCTTCTCCGTGCCCTTGGCTGGGGTGTGTGTGTGTTTTCTTCTCCTGGTGTAGACCTGCGTCCCTCTAGCATCTCTTGGCCCTTCAGGAGCCTGATGAGGTCTGTTGCTTTACCAGCCTCAGTGTGTCTATCTGTGAACCAGGCTGGTGGGTGTCTAACCAGCCTACCTCAGGCCTGCCTCAGAGCTCTATCAGGAGGCTACACTCTGTGCCCTCCCTTATCCTGGCCCTGCAGAGAATAAGCCACCTGCTAGGGATATTTTCAGACACAGCTTAATTAAATAAATCATGACGGGAAACAGACAGCATTGTGACAGTTCCCCCGGCACCCGGCTCCTCGGAAGGCCTGGAGCTGGTTTCTGAGAGGGCTGGGGATGTTGCAGGCTCTGTGCCAGGCCCTTCCCCCGTCTGCCGAGGTAAACGCAGCTCCAGGCCGAGGCTTCCTTCTCTCCCCAGGAGGAGCCTGGCTTCCCATGCTGCGGGAAGCTGTCCCCATTTGCTGCCACCTTTGAGCTGCTCTGGGTTTCTTCTGCTGCGTCTTTGTGTGCTGACCCGGTGCCCATTTTTAAAGAACATTATATTAGTTGGGTTCCTGCCTGGAATAGGGTGTGTTGGAGGCCTGAGGGATGAGCTTTTTGACTTTACGGCAGGAACCCACTTGCGAAGGAAAGTATGTGCCCGTGATAAGATCAGTGCCTGCTGCCGGGAAGAGGGAACCTGAGGCCAGTTGGGGAGATGGAGAGAGGCCCAGGACCTTTGCCCTGTCTCTCTTTTGCTCCCATTTCCTTCCCCTTCTCTGTTGGTCTTTCTCAAACAAGCTCTCCAACACTAGTGTCTATATCAGGCACCAGAGCACAGAAATGTTCTCATCTTAGCTGATAAGTTCCGATATGTAAGAGCTAATTCTCTCTCTCTCTCTCTCTCTCTCTCTCTCTCTCTCTCTCTCTCTCTCTCTCTCTCTCTCACACACACACACACACACACACACACACACACACACAGAGCCTTATGTCGTATATTCCAAGCCTACTTGGAACTCACCATGTAGCCATGGATGGCCTTGAATTTCTGACCTTCACTCTGTATACTGAGATTAAAGGCTTGTGCTACCATGCCCGGTTTACGTGGTGATCGGGTTTGAACTAGCTTCATGTGTGCCAGGCATGCATTCTTCGGTTGAACTATATCTATAGCCTCAATCACCATTGTGTTAAAGCTATATGGGATGAGAAAAGAGTACGTGAAAACCGGCCTTGGAAGGTGGAGGCCGGTAGATCCGGACTTCAAGGCAAGTCCTCAGCCACAAAGCAAGTTCCAAAACAAAACCCCACCTCCGATAAGCCTGTGTGGTTCTGAAAGCCAGATAAGAATTCTTTGTTTCTTCTTTCCTTTCTTTCAAGTGTGTGAGCGTGCGTGCATGCTGGCGTGCATGCTGGCGTGCATGTCAGGCAGAGGACACCTTTCAGGAGGCGGTTTTCTCTTTCTACCATGAATTCCAGGGACTGAATTCAGGTCACTGGGTTTCACAGTCATCGCTTTGACCTGCTCAGCTATCTTTCCATCCTAGACACACATTCTCATATATTCCCACACTGACAGATGAGTCCGTGTACCCTGTTTTTTTTTTTTTAAATCTTAAGATGACCTGGTTTAGACACTGTGTGAGTGCCTGTGTTAATCCACAATCTAGTACTGTGAAAAGGTATCTGATACAATCACGTTATAAAGAGGAAACAGCTATCCTTTTTGATAATTTCAGTTTTTGGTTCACGATCCTCAGCTCCGTTGCTCTAGGCCTGTGGGGGCAGAGTACATCATGGCAGGAAGCATATGGGGTAGGGGTGAGTAGGGGTGGGGTAGGGGTGGATTCTGTTCATCTCATGGCAGAGGAGAAATTGCCAAGGTCCCCATATCCCCTCCAAGAGCACAGCCCTCTAGTGACCTAACCTCCTGACGAGGCTCTCCTAGCTGAAAGTTCTAGCACCTCCTGATAGTGTCACAGACTGGGGACCGTGTCTTCAGCACAGTAGCTCCATTTGAAAGCTAAACCATCACGGTGTTACAATTTATGAAGTGTTCCTAAAAAGGCAGATGTGTTGAAGGCTTGGACCCCAGCTGGTGGCCCTAGAGGGAGATGATGGGATCCTGAGGCCATTGCCCATGGTTGAGTTCTCACTGAATGACTGATAGGAGCCCCCTGGTTGGAAAAGTCACTGAGCATGTGCCTTCTTGTCCGTGTCCCTTTCTGTCTGTCAGTCTCTCTGCTTCCTGGCTGCACAAGGCCAGCAGTTTTCCTCTGTTGTGTCCTTATGCTGTGATGTTTCTGCCTGGCCATGGGCCTCGAGCAATGGAGCCAGCTGATCGTAGACACCTCTGAAGCTGTGGGCCGAGGTAAATATTTCTTCTGTTTAAGTTGTTTATGTCAGATAGGTTATTTCATGGTCAGCAAACCAACACAGGTTCCCTTATCCGTTTTCTGCTGCTCTAATAGAATATCACTGCTTGGGTAACTTTTAAATGACAGTTTTTTGGGTCATAGTTCTAGAGGCTAGGAAAACAGGACTATGGCACTAAAGTCTGGCAAGGGCTTTTCTCCTGCCTCAACATGATGGAAGGGCAAATGAGCATGTGCAAAACAGGAAAGCCCCAGCTCTAACAAATCCTTTTATTACTGGGCCCTTACCCACAGCAACTAACCCACCTCAGTAACGACATCAATCCATTCACGTGGGCCAGGTTCTAGTGACCTCATCACCTTTGAAAAGTCCTATCTCTTGACCCTCTTACAATGGCATCTAAATTTAACTATGAATACACACACACACACACACACACACACACACACACACACACACACACACACCAAGGCTCACTCTCAAAAATCAGTTCTCTCCTTCCACTATGGGGTCTGGAGAGTGATACCAGATCACCAGGCTAGTACAGCCTGCGCTTTTACCCACTGAGTCATTTTGCCAGCCCCAGAAGGAAAGTGCTATGCTGGGACCTTGTTCTCAAGGGTCCCAGTTTCCAGAACCGTGAGAAATAAGATTCTTCTGTTCATATATATATATATATATATATATATATATATATATATATATTATATATATATATATATACACACACACACACACACACACACACGCGCGTGTGTGTGTGTGTGTGTGTGTGTGTGTGTGTGTGTGTGTGTTATGATGGTACATGTGCTTTGTTTTCTGTTGCTGAACCTGTGCCATGGCAAGTCACTTGTTCTCAAGAGCTTGACCAATTATGAGTCCATTAGGAGACTGCCCATTACAAAAAGAAATCTTGTTCCATAATCAACCAAGGCTGATAACGGGCATCTGTGGGTGGAAACACAGCCACAATGCTTAGAAGGCAATTTGACAGGTTGTCAGACAGAGAAATAGGACTGAGACAACCTCTACATGACAAATGGCAGCAGTGACCTCTCACTGGGACTTACGACCTCTCTAAGCCATGGTATTTTGTCCTGGCTTGTGGTACCAGATGTGAGTCCCCAATCTATGGAGTAGGCTTGGATCCAATCAAAACTGCACCTATAACAACTGTGCCACTTTTACATCAGTAGGCACATCTTGGTACTGAACCATGTGGTGTCCATAGTTGTTGGTGATAGTTCTCTCCCAGAAGTTCACACAGTGACTTAGGACACTGTGAACCCAGCCAGCGGGAAGGGAGGTTCTGGTTCAGTCCCAGTCCAATTTCTATGTCTTATAGCCAAAACATCCAGTGTCTTTGGCGATGGGCTCTTACCATCTAGTTTTAGCTGTGACCAACAGCAGTGGCAATAGCTTGTATGGTGTGGGAGATCCAGGGTCTTTTTGGCTAACAACTCCTGGTGAGGTTAGCCTACCCTTGGCACTGGAATTTTCAATAGACAACTATGTGGCTTCTGGGCATGCCCTTCCTGCTCATACGGGGTAATTTCACTTAAATTCCATAATCGTTAGCTTTGCTGTTCTTCCAGATGTTTTTACAAGCCCGCAAGACACTCAAGGGTTAACATTATACTAAGAAGCCTTTTTACAGAGAGTGGGTAGGATCTGAGGCCTATCATCATCCATTCTAAGTGCCTGCCAGTTGGTCACAAGCAGCTAAGGGGATACAAAAAGAGGTAGTAAGGTTCAGTTCAGTGCAAAATGGTCTCATTCCTTGTATGAGTTGTTTTGTCAAAGGGCAATGTTTGGTCCAGCAGCATTGGTGGAGGAGGCTACCCCATGTAGTTCTTCAAAATCCAGTCATTTTCTGTGAGCTCTCCCTCCTTCCTTATCTTCCTTAGCCTGCCATAGGGCCTCTGCAGAACTGCCCACCCCTGACAGTTTTAGTAGGGCTGGCTTGCACTGCTTGGCTTGCCTCAGGCTTAATAAGAAGCAGGTCCTGCTCTAGCCTGCCCTGCCTGCTTCTGGAGTCACCTCCCCAGTTCTGGTAGGCTCTGGGTCAGCACTGTGGGCCTAGACTTTCCACTGGATACACCTGGCTGCTTAAAGGGCCCGGGGCTAGGTAAGCGGTCTTTACTCCTCGTACAGGGAGAGAAATGTACACAGCATACTCTGGGGGAATAAATGCCTGCACCTAGGTGGAGCTTAATCTTTACTTGCAAGTTGTTCCTGAGGCTTAGAGTTTTCCAGAAACTATCATAACATTTGGTTTTCTGTTAATTTTTTCCTAGGAGCTCGAGTTCGCCACATTTGCCTTTGAGCTGCCCAGACAGATCCTTTTGTCTGCCTTGTTCTCCTCTCGTCCCCTCTCGGTTGCTTCAGCACTTTACAGATGCAATTGACAGGCTGGTCCACGTTACTCAGGTCTGCCAAAGCCTCTCCTACCTCCTAAAGATCGCATCTCAACACACGGCTCAACAAAGCCACTTAAAGCCCCATACCAGTCCTGTGGAGCCTACTGAATCAACCACCGTCTTTCTTAATTCTCCCACGAACACCGGCCCGTCTGGTCTGGTGAACCGAGCATCACACACGGCCCCTCTCACTTCCAGTTCCTTCAGTAAAACTTGCCATTCCTCTTTTGTCCTTCAGGTCGGCTATTCATGGACAGCTGAACAAAGCACCATCGGGCATCCTCAAAGGCTCCTGTGAGCCAGTCCACAGGGACTGATAGCCCTCTTACTGCCTCAGGTCATCAGCTTCGGCACTCAGGCTGACCTCGCCCACCCTCGCGTGCCGCAACCACCATCAGGTTGTCAGAGGCTCTTCCATTGCTTCCTCAAGTCATTGCCTGTTCAATTGGTTCAGATGCTGAGTGTCCCCTGATCGCCACACTGTCTCGTAGTAGACCATTATTAAGGCCCCCGTCTGCATGCCAAATCATGGATTTCCCTATGTCTGTATTAAAAGCTGGACCTGAGGGGCATCTTCTATCATGTCTGCCCTCCTTCCTGCCTTTTCACTGTCCAGTTCTCCCCATGAGTCCCAAGTCTTTGGATCCAGGCAGGGCTGTTGAGCACAGATCTCATTCATCTGTGCTCTCATTTTCTTGCATCTTGCCAACTGTATGAAGGGCAAGCCTTCTCATCTCCATCTCATCCCAGAAAAGGATTTCCTGCCAAACCAGAGGCTCATGCAGCAGGCAGCATCCAGTGTCCTTCTTTGCCTTGTCATTCCACCCTTGGATGGGCAAGTTCTTTCTGGGAAGAGAGCTGAACTTGAGTTGCATGTGGGTGACCACAAGAAAGGCCACATAGCTAACACCACAGTCTGATTACCCCGTAAGTGCTACTTTCAGAGAGTGCAGTGTGGTCTCCAGTTCAGCAGCAGTTTTGGAGGCATCTCAAGGTTTCATGGTGACATCATTCATCATTCCACCTCATACTAAGTAGAAGAATATAGCCGTCCTGGGGTTTCCCCCAATGACACTGTACTCTCAGGTGGGGTAGATGATGTTGCATGTCCTACAGCTCACTGCAGGAAGCATGCAAGCCCTACTACAGCAAGGAGGCATGCATCCCGTGCCGCATGGGATAGTGCGCATCCCCAGATGCTCCACTTCCACATGGATCAGCTTCATCTGCATGTCCCAGAACCCACTGCAGGAACCACGCAGCTGCTTCTCCCCTACTCATCTCTGGTTTTCTTGGTCTCTGCTCAGGTGCCAGTTATTCAGTGTGACTCTTCTGGGAAGATCTGAATGAACACCTTTTTCCTCCAGACTGGGCATCAATGACAGATGGAGAAATGATGTCACCCAAGTCTACTTTAGTGAACCAGTGAGTTCATTGGAGTGTCTGACTCAAAGATAGCTGTGTCCAAGCTGGGCGGTGGTGGTGGTGGCACACGCCTTTTAGTCCCAGTACTTGGGAGACAGAGGCAAGTGGATCTCTGTGAGTTCAAGGCCAGCCTGGGCTACAGAGTGAGTTCTAGGACAGGATCCAAAGCTACACAGAGATACCCTGTCTCAAAAAACCAAATACACCACACACACACACACACACACACACACACACACACACACACACACACACGGCTGTATCCAAAGCGCCCACCCCAGCGTCGATGTGACTCATGAGAGCCACAAGTCTGGAGCAGTCTGCATAACTTGTAGGTGGCTTGGATGGCTGGAGCCCCTCATCCCAGCAATGGTTACTGTTTCTATAATCATGAGGGAGTGAACCCCCCCGAATCTTAGAACTTTCAAGAGACCCCCTCCATGTCTTATAAATAGTGTTTCCTAAGTTTCCTTCATTTCCTGGGTCTCAAGAGCCTATCTCCTCCCTCCAGGAAAGAACATTCAAATTTGGAGGAAGTAATTACCCACGAGACAGGTCCTGCCTTCCCTGGGTCACTTCCCTATTCGTTTCATGGTGGAGATGAATTTAGTGCCATACTTTTAGACAAAGACTATATGACAGAACAGGTGGATTGGAATTGAAACTATGAGGGTGCATCATATGTGGTGAGCCGGGGATCCTTTCGGCATTTTTGTGTATGCGTTTGTACTGAGTCGTTCCATGTGGTGTATGTTACTATGACTTACAGTTAAAAAAAAAAAAGTGAGGATGGATGGGATGGCTCACTGGATAAAGGGGCTTGCTGCCAAGCCAGATGACTTGAGTTTGATCCCCAGGACCCACATTGTAGAAGAAGAGAACTGACTCTGGCAAGTTGTCCTCTGATCTCCACACACACACACACACACACACACACACACACACACACACACACTCACACACACACACACACACACACACACACACACACACACTCACACACACTCACAAGTGATGGATTATTTAAAAAAAACCAACTTGGACAACTTGGAAATCAGTGTGGTGGTTCCTCAGAAAGATAAGAATTGATCTATCTCAAAGTCTAGCTATACCACTCTGGGGCATATACCCAAAGGACACACCATCCTACTACAGAGACACTTGCTCAACCATGGTCCTTGTTGTTCTGTTCCTAATAGGCAGACACTGGAAACAGCCTAGATGTCTGTCAGGGGATGAGTGGATAAAGAAAATGTGGTACATTTACACAATTTACTAAAATGACATCATGAAATTTGCAGGTAAATGGATGGAGCTAGAAAAAAAAATCATCCTGAGTGAGGTAACTCAGACCTAGAAAGACAAATATGGTATGTATTTGCTTATATGAGGATGTTAGCTGTTAAGTCATTGATAGGCAAGCCGTATTCCATATAAGCACAGAGCTTAAGTAGAGAGTGAGGGACTAGGGGGGGAGTAGATCTCCCTAGGAGGGGGAGAGGAGGAAATAGAATAGACAGTTTATGGTTTTGGGTGTGTGTGTGTGTGTGTGTGTGTGTGTGTGTGTGTGTGCTAGAACAGGAGGATCAAACAGGGAAGGGGAAGAGAGATGGGGCAAAAAGGAAATATGGAGAGGGACAGGTGAACTTAGGGGCCATTTGAGGAGTCCTAGAGAAACAAAACACAGTGGAAGCTTCCTAAAGTATGTATATATATGAAGGCAATTTAAATGAAACACCAAATAACAGGGAGACAGAGCCTCAACTAGACATCTCTTGTCACCAAATGAAGCTTCTAGTACCGGGAATAGGTTACATCTAATTGAGTTCTTGACTAAAGGGGTCCCATGGGAACCCCCAAGCAACCCAGGGTATTGCCAAGGTTATTGGTGGCCCTCTACAAACTGACAGGAAGGTGCCGTTGCTGAAGAGAACACCTACACAACTCATTGAACACACAGGAGTTGAGCTGATGCCTTCACCCCGATGGGCTAGAAGTGTTCATGGTACTGGAAGGTGCTTTTCACACTACAAAAGGAGAAAGTAGACACCAACCCAGCTACAAACCCTTCGATCTGCAGGGCGACCTGCCTGCAAGATCTGCTGGTGCAATGGTGGCACAGAGCTGGTGGGAGTCACCAACCACCATCTGATCTGAGTTAAGGCCCACTCCATGGCATGGAACCCATATCCAGTGCTGCTTGAGTGGCTGAGAATCTGAGACTAGACAGGCCATGGATCTAGGGGAAAGCCAAATACTAATGTTCTGCTAAAGGAAAAGAAGAAATGACTCCTAACAACATTCTGCTATACTCAAAGATCTGTGCCTTGCTCAGCCATCACCAGAGAAACTTCCTCTTGCAGCACATGAGAACAAACACAGACACAGACAGACAATATACAGAGAGAGAGAGAGAGAGAGAGAGAGAGAGAGAGAGAGAGAGAGAGAGAGAGAGAGAGAAGAGAGAGAGAGAGAGAGAGTGATATCTTGGGACACTCAGCCCTAAAATGGATGTTGCCATTAAATCTCATCCCTCTGGGCTTGGGAAATGCTGCAGAAGAGGAGGCAGGAAGATTGTAAGAGCCAGAGGGGATAGAGGACACCAAGAAAACAAGGCCTTCTGAACACAACAGGACCAACACCCATATGAATGTACTCACAGAGACTAAGGCAGCATGTACAGGGTCCAGGTCTGCACCAGATGGGGACCTAGAGCTGAAAGGAGAAGGGGACACAAGCCTCATCCCTAACCTAGAAGCTATTTCCAGTTGATAGCCACTTACAAATGAAAAAATTAGTTTTCTCCAAGGCAGTCTCACCGGGTAAACAAACCACTCTTAGGGGCAGGCAGCAGTAGATGGCTGACACAGGACAAAGTCAAGGGCACCTTTGGAGATGCTTTGTCTCATGTTAACCTTACAGGTCCTCTGCATCTATATTCTGGCTTCTGGCTTTGGGGTTTTATGGGATTCCTGTATGTGAGAATGTGTATGTCTGCACCCACATGGATTTCTTGTGCTTTTTCTTTGGTTCTTTCTCGTTTGGTTGTTTTGTCCTATTCTGACTTATTTTTGTTTAAGCTTATTTTATTTTATCATTATTCCTTAGATGCCTGTTTGGTTTCTATCAAGAAACAGAAAGGGTGTGGCTCCAGATGGGAGGAGAGGTGGGGAGGAACTAGGAGGAGGAGGGGGAGAGGAAACCGAAATCAGAATGTATTGTATGAACAAAATCTATTTTCAATAAAAGAAATTAAAAAAAGAAACTTGGAAAACTTGGCTTTCCCCATTCAGTGGAATGAAGCATCAACCCGTGTCTCTTCTGTAAAAGAATGAATTCAATGGGTGTATGGCAGGCGTTTTGAAGTCTGTCCCTGGTAATGGAGTCTTAGTGTGAGTGGCTGGAGACTGCCATACTGCAGCAGCTTACTTATTCTCTGTGGACTCTACTCAGTGAAGATTACTTTTCATTTATTCATTTTGTGAGTGTGTGTAGGAGTGTAGGCACACAGGTGCATGGTGTGTATATGGAGTCAGAGGACAATGTGTGGGAATCAGTTTTTTCCTTCTACTACGTAGGTTCCAGGTTTTGGCCTCAGGCCATCAGGCCTCAAGTACTGCTGAGCTCTCTTGCCAGCCCAAAGATGGGATTCATGACTTTGTTTCAAAAAAGAATCTTAGGATGAGCCAGTTTGAGGCATAGTTAGAGTTTATTAAGAGGGAATTTTAACATTGATTTAAACACAGGGGTTCATAGAAGGAGAGGCACTCGGGGGGAGATAGCCAAGTGTGAGTGTGGGCTTCTCAGAAGAGACATGTGCTCACCTATCTTAGTAGTTAACCATGTATGTGATGTTCTTGGCATTGAAGCTACATGTCAAAGAGTGGCCAAGAAAATTTTCTTCATTTTTTTTGATAAATGAGAGTATAGGGTAGCTCTGGAGGTACCTTGGGTAGGATTGTAATCTGATTAGATAAAACTGTGGTTGCCAACAAGAACACTCAACATTCCAGCAGGAAGCGCTAACAAGAAAAAAAGGGAGGTGGAGTGTTAAGAAGTGTGGGGGCAGGGGGTTTTAGGAGTGGATGTGATCCAGATATACAGTATACACTATGATGTTGTCGAAGAATAAACAAAAGGTATTCTGATCTGGAGGATGGCTCTGTAGATGTAACCAACCTTCTTATTAAATAAGAAACACAGAACCAATGCAAAGAAGAAAGCCAAGAGGTCAGAGCTAAGAGCTAAAACCTTACCCTTCCTCCTGCGGTGGTCCTACCTCCCCGAACCAGAGCTACTTTCTGTGTTAAAGTCCTTATATAGAATTTCTGTTCTGCCTTCTCATTGGTTGTAAACCCAACCACATGACCACCTTGTCACAGCCTGTCTGTATAGACCTCCAGGTTTTCCATGATTGGTATTGAGATTAAAGGCATGTGTATCCAATAATGGCTGTATCCCTGAACACACAGAGACTTACCTAGCTCTGCCTACCAAGTGCTGGGATTACAAGCATACGCCACCACTGCCCTGCTTTCCTATGGCTTGCTAATAGCTCTGACCCCGGGCAACTTTATTTATTAACATACAAATAACATTTTAATACAAATAAAATATCACCATATGGCTCAGTAGTTTAAGAGAGATTTACTGCTCTTGCAGAGGGCCTGAGTTCAGTTCTAAGCATCTATAGGTGGCTGGCTTACAACTTCCTGTTACTCCAGCTTTAGGGAATCCAGTGACCTCTCTGGCTTTCTTGGGCACCAGGACTCATGTTCACACCCCCTCCCCCCAGACACAGACACACAAACATAACTTCAAGTAACAAAATGTACTGGCTAGTTTTATGCCAATGAGGGAGGGCTTAGCCTATGGTGGGTGGTGCCACCTTCTGTGAAATATTAGTTTAAGATGTGTTACATTTGTTTATGCTGCGGAGTATCTGTTTAATGATGCAAAGATGTGTTGCATTCTTTTATGTTGCATTTGTTTAACTTTGTGAAGCTGTGTTACTTTGCCTACCTCAAACACATGATTGGTCTAATAAAGAGATGAATGGTCAAAAGCTAGGCAGAAAGGATAGACAGGGTTGGTAGGTGTAGGTGGTTGTTTTTTACTCTTTGGCTCTTTTGGGTGGCCTGCCACCCA